CTGGTTCTGCTGGAGGTTTCTTCCTGTTCAAAGGGAGTTTTTCCTCTCCACTGTCGCTACAAGCATGCTTAGTGTGAGGGATTGCTGAAGAGTCAATGGGCCTCATGCAATCAGCCTTCATACCAGTTATTTAGGAGAATCTGCTGCGTTCATCATTTTTCTAATCTTTCAGTGTAACTGGGTGAGTCAGGGTCACCGTCTGCACGCCCAGCAGAAGGCTGCTGGCTGGAAGTTGGAGGGGATTTTGCTGCAGGGAAGTGGGCCGCCATTCAGCCGCTGTTTTATTGGGAAGGGTCATTTTAATGGCTGCTACTGCAACTCCTCAATTTAAGAACAAATGCACTTATATAATAAAAAAATGACGAGGATTGAAATATTTTGCAGCATTTTCTGCTTTTCTTCCTGGTTTGATTCAGGAAACAACCTGCAGAGGGAATAAAAACCATCCCACTGTAGCTCTGACCAGTATATAACCTGTGAGGCCGTTCTACAGACGAGCTCCACCTGATGGGCGCCTGATCCGAGCCGTTCGATCTGCTCAGGGCTTTCCGAGGTCGGGGACATCTTTCTGCCGTTATTCTTGGCATTCTGGGAACTGAGTCTGATCACTTCTACGTCTCTCTGACTCCTGGGTGGAGCAGCAGCAGGACTGATGACCTGATAAACATGGAGATCAACTGGGGACAAGGAGCAGGAGCCAAACGTGGACAAACTGGACAAATAACAGACAGCAGCAGAGCTTCTCGTCATGGAGACACCAGCAGAACCTGAATGTTTCTATTCTATATGTGAAGCTGCTCATCCAGATTCCGTCTCCTTCTACTCTCTGATTGGTCGAACAGTGAACCGATCCAAACCCACTAGGTGCTGTGGAGCACGGAGTTTTCTAAGGTGAAGTCGTACTGGTAGCTAGCCAGGTTGTAGTTGATGTCTCTGGACAGCAGGACGTCGGGGACGGCGCTGGAGCCGGCCTGCACGGCCAGGACGTGAGGCGCCAGCGTGAAGGGGACGTCTCCCAGGAGATCTGGGAGCGCCGAAGAGGCTTCCACGACCGGAGGGCCCGCAGGTGGCGCCGCCGCCGCTGGCGCGTGTTTGGTGGCGGGTCTGGATGGAGCCGGTCGGACTGGCTGCGGGGCAAAAGACACGCTGCTGTTAGAAACCAATCCAGCTTACAGATGAAAACCAGTATGGACGCTCCAGTCGACCACTACGCCAGTTATTCTATGGTGAAAAGAGCAAAACCAGTTAAAAACCAGTTAACATGTAAAAACCAGACCCATTTCTGATCCTTTCCACCCATGATGGGAGGAGAAGAGATGTGATAACCTGGTGGAAGAAGTATTCACACCCTCACACTTCTACTTTAGAAAGAACATCTCTAAGCATGCTTGTAGCGACAGTGGAGAGGAAAAACTACCTTTGAACAACGCATACCTGACGTCCCAGAATCTTCTAAAACGCTGGCATACACTGGATTCTTTCTATACTGGGAGTATGCATAGAGTATTAATAATGAGTCCAAAACTTCTGTCCAACAACGGCCTAACGTCTGCATAGGGGGGCAGCGATGCACCCGGCCTGCAGAAAACTATTTCTTTGATCGCGGTATTAACCTAGCTGCTGTTTACCGCCAAAAAATAATCAAGAAAGAAAGCAGGTTTTTGTTGGCAGCAGATTGAGCGTCATGTCTGCTAGGAAGTGTGTTGG